CCTCCAACTTGCTCAAATAGAATTACAAAAAGGCAAAATTGTGTTTTTCACAGAGATACAGTCCACTGGAATCACCGACACTGGACAGCTGTTAAGAATATTTAGAGTCCTGAGATAATAAGGAATCCAGGCATCCTTAGATAGTCTTCTGTTGTCCTTTCTTCCCAATCAGAGACTTGTGGATGTGTGGGATGACACCACCACCAGCAGTTGTAGCCTTGATCAGAGAGTCCAATTCTCCATCTCCACGAATAGCAAGTTACAAGTGACGAGGGGTAATACGCTTTACCTTCAAGTCTTTGGATGCATTTCCTGGCAACTCTAGTACCTCTGCGGTGAGGTACTCCAGGATGGCTGCTCTGTACACAGCGGCGGTCGCGCCCACACGTCCGTGACTAGTTGTCCTAGATTTCAGGTGTCGATTAATATTGCCCACAGGGAACTGCAAGCCGGCTCGCTGTGAGCAGGAAACCGCCTTTGCCTTGGCCTTTCTGGAGTCCTTTCCAGCGTTACCGCCAGCCATCTCGGACTGTGCTGCAGATTGGACAAGAGAAGAAGGGACGAGGCCAGGCGATCGCAGACGCACAGCGAGATCCGGGCGCCCACTCCTCCGTCCTACCGCGATTCAAACTGCTATTCACACATTTAAATAAAACATTTTAAACCTACTTGAAATCTTTCCCACTCACCTGAAATCCTTTAAATATTGTAAGAAAAAATGTACCACTTGTTAACTCTTAATACACAGAAAGTTGTATATATTCTTTTGCCATGTCACCCTGACAACCTTTTTCTCTTCTGGGTCTGGTTGATTCAGAAGTAGTAACCATTTCTCCAACCTTGAATCTGCAAATGATGTTGCCATATGTTACACAATGAACAATGCTAATCTAAACATTCTACCTCTTTCCTTAGCATGTTCAGCTTCCTGTAGTGCACTTTCTCCCTGTTACCTAAGGATATGATGTTCTCTCTTTCTTTACAATTTCAAAATGTAGTTCACATAGTTAACTTTTCTACCACTACTAATCTATCTGTCATCTTTTGAGATTTCTATGAAGCAATGTAGAGGTTACCTTCCTTCAAATCATTCCTTTTTGTTAAATCACAGTCTTGAAAAACTTCCACCTAGTCTCCAGATAAACAGATCTTGTCATAGTCACAAATATGGCTCATTATTGTGAAATCCAAGCTAATCTGATGTTCCAGCCCTCATTTGAATTAATACATAAATTTACTTTATCTTTAGGTTTTAGAGACCTCCTTAACATTCAAACCCTCTTTATTCTTTTATTCATTCATTTTGCTAATTGCTACACATACCTCTGACCTGTTAAGATAGAAAGGCTAGTGCTCACTCATATATTATCATTAATAATTCAGTTTCAATGGTAAATATCTACCATTGTTTGCAATCCAGTGAATATAATATGGTAAGGGCAAAGATGACTGTGTTCCCTTTGGTCTCTATCCTGCCATAATATCCATTTGATTGACAACAGTAGTTTTAGAGGATCAGGGAAAGTGATTTGTCATCATTGACTTTGCTCATTATCTTTATAACCTGTACTTAACCTTCCTGCTAATGGTTACTATTAAAATTGACATATTTTATTAAATTTTAAAAATTTCACGCATGTATATAAAATGTATTTAATTGCATTTACCCCAAACTCATTCACCTTACTCTTCCATGATCTAATTTCTACCCCCGTAGTCAATTGCCAACTTTGTTTCATCGTTTTGTTTTAAGCCATCAAATCCTACTTGTGCCACCCTTACGGTTGTGAATTTGGAGCCAGCCAATGGAGCCTGCTCAAGCTAAGAGGGTGCATACCCTTGTAGAAAATTGATTCTTCCTCTCCCAGAGGACATGGATTTTCAAGAGTGTGGAACCTAGCAGTGCAAGTTTCATGAAACCCCTGTATCAATGATGGAATGCTAATGGGCTTCATTTTGCACTGGTAATCAAGCTACTGTGAGTTTGTGAGTACAGTGGTCCTGTAATGTCTTAGGACTATTTCAGCATTGTCCCCTGACTCCTGTCTCTTACAGTTTTTCTGTCCTCATGTTGACTGTTATCTCTGAGCCTTTGTGGGGAAACTATGTTATATAGGTATCCCAATTATGGCGGAACACTCCACAAACACTTTGTGCTTCGGACAGTCAGTTTCTGAGTTAACTACCATCCAATGAAACAAAGAAACTCCCTGATTAGATCTCAGAGTTGCATTCATCTGTGGGTTCAGAGAAACAAAATTAATATTAGTAATGGAGTAAGAGTGAGATTCTATCTTCTAATAAACTCCTAAAGAGCTATAAACACGTGCTTAGTTTCTGAGAGTGTATATTTAAGTTGTATTCTTATTTTCCATAGTCATTTTGATTAGCAGAATCAGTGGACAAAATAATTTGAGAATAAAGAAGAAAGATGTTTCCTTCATGCTATATTATAATCATTTGCCATCCCTTTGTTGCCTTTATTTCTTCACTATTGAAATCTATTCTGTCCTTTAGCCTTTATGATAAAACTTCTCTATGGATGATTTTCTTTTCTCCACAATGTAGAAAACCTGATAGTCTTTTCCATTGATGTATAAGTGCATACTGTAGAGTGTAGTTTCAACATTGCTTGCCTATTTGGTTATAAATGAGTGAAAGAATAATAGAATGCACAGGTCTGGATCTAGAGATATTTTATTGTATCATGTAAGATATAGACACGAAAGAACTATTTCCATATCTACAATTAAGGTTAAATACAAGGTTTACATATTAACCCAGTGATATAAATTTCATGTCTCTGAATGTACCATATTGAGTTTATTCCAGATGAAAGAAGGCATGTGTAGAGTAAAAAATGACTGAAATGTGATGTCAACTTTGTTTGTCCAGAATACCCCTGCATCTTCCCACGCAGGGTAACAGGGCCTAACTGTGGTGGGACATTATCAGTCTGGCCTCTATGACTCTTCACAGCACCAGGAGTGAGAAATCTTTCAATAGTCGTTTCACCGTGACCACCTGCCAGGATAGAGTTCTTGCCATCTGAGTTGGCACAGTCAGAAAGCTGCGGTGAGTTACTGAGAATTGCAGCTCAACAGATCAAGGATTTCATTTCGAATGATTGAAGATGCCAGAGTAAAATCATGTATCCAGTTTCTGGAATCCTTCTATTCAGTATATAAATTAATTTCCAAAATCATCACACAGAAGATTACAGTTTTAAATAAAATTGAAATAAAATTGTCTATTTTAGTAATTCCTATCATACTACCTGATATTTACTATCAAATTAATTCCAGATTAGGTAACATTATTTCCTTCTGTCACTTCTCAAGACAAATTAATTTTTATCATTTCGTAGAGATGTATTGATTCAAATCAATTCTAAGAACATTTTTTATATGTGTCATGAAGGAAGAGATTGAGGGTCTGTTGGATCCTAAGGGGACAGAGAACTGACAATGTTCATATAAACCCTGTCTCAATGTGAGTTCCTTATTAAATATAAGGCCAGGTATTACTTTACACTGCTACATTTGTTGACTAAAGAAAAATCTTAAGATTTTCAGTAAATCCCAGAGCCTGTCTAGAAGCCTAAGTAGCAGGATGTGAATCATCTAAGCCTAGGAAATTTACTCTCATTATGAGACAGAAAGCTTTCCTTAGTATAAAGGATGGCTTACATTTCAGCCAACT